CAAGACCAAAGAAATACAAATCAAAACAAAGGGATACAATTTTACATTGATCAAATTAATCACAATAACATAAATGTTTTAAAACGATATAAGCGTGCACATAGATTGATAATGGCAGTATAAATTATATAATCCTTTTGGAAAGTAATTTGGAAATTACCAGGAATCTGGAAATGTTCTATTAAAAATAAGAGCTAACATTTATTTGTGTTTTTATCATGCTATTGCTTTCTATCTTAACCTTGTAGAGAACTATTAGTATACCCATTTTATAAGTCAAGAAGCAAAAGTTCTGAGAAAAAAATTTATAAATAATTTTGCCAGTAAGTGATGGAGTGAGGTTCTGAACTCTGAATCTTTAATTTTAGAGTCCACCCATTTATAATTACAATTACACCATACTGCCTCTCTAAAGAAATAGTCCGAAGGAAGGAAGGAAGGAAGGAAGGAAGGAAGAAGTTACATTCATGGGGACAGTCATCATATTTTTTTTTAAGATTTATTTATTTATTTGACAGACAGAGATCACAAGCAGGCAGAGAGGCAGGCAGAGAGAGAGAGGAGGAAGCAGACTCCCCGCAGAGCAGAGAGCCCGATGCGGGGCTCCATCCCAGGATCCTGAGATCATGACCTGAGCGGAAGGCAGAGGCTTTAACCCACTGAGCCACCCAGGTGCCCCCATCATATTATTTTTAAATACTGGAACATTCCCAAGTAGAGGAAGGGCTAAGTAAATTATGCTACATTAATTGGATAAACTATTATAAAATTACTACAAATAATGGGGAGTAAATTATTAAAAGTATTGATAAAAAATCAGGACAGAAATTTATCTGTAATATAAGACATTTATAAAAATATATATTCATATGGCAAGACTGAGAATGGAGCTGGAAGAAATAAAAACTATTACCATTTTAGAACTTTCTACTAGAACTTAATTTTCTTTTGTCAGTCTTGTCAATCAAGATTACTCTAAGCACCTTACCTTACAAACTCGTTCTCCTAGTTTATATTCTTACCATCCCAGTCAAACATTCCTAAAACTTCACTAATAATTTATTCATATTAAAGACTTATTCAAAGTAATTACACAATATTCTTTATTGGTGATTCTGAAGCTCTAAAGTATGTGACTTCTTAACATCAATGATTTTTGCAATCACCATTTATGGTATATACATATTTTTCCTTTTCAAATTTTTATTTAAATTCTAGTTAGTTAACAAACAATGCAATATTGGCTTCAGGAGTAAAATTCAGCGATTCATTACTTACTTACAACACCCAATGCTCATCATAACAAGTATCCTCTTTAGTACCCATCACCCATCTAGCCCATCCCCCACCTGCCTCCCTTCAACAACCTTCAGTTTGTTCTCTATCTTTAAGCCTATTATGGTTTGTTTCCCTCTTCTCCCCCATATGTTCATCTGTTTTGTTTCTTAAATTTCACATAAAAGAGAAACCATGGTATTTGTCTTTCTCTGACTTATTACAGGGTACTTTCAAAAAAAACTTATTTGAGGGGCACCTGGGTGGCTCAGTGGTTAAAGCCTCTGCCTTCGGCTCAGGTCATGATCTCAGGGTCCTGGGATCGAGTCCCGCATCGGGCTCTCTGCTCAGCAGGGAGCCTGCCTCCTCCTCCTGTCTCTCTCTGCCTGCCTCTCTGCCTACTTGTGATCTGTCAAAAAAAAAAAAAAAAAACAACCTTATTTGAGATCATATACAGTGACCAAAAGCAACTAATTCTTTTTTACTTTCATAACCTTGCAATCACTCCTCAGCTCCCTGAACCCATCCAGGGATCATCAGCCCAGAGTTTGCAGGTGTTTTAGAGATCAGAAAAGTTTCCTACTAAGAACATGATCTCTAAGTGAATACTTATAAAGTAAATAAACCAGCTATAGGGATATTCACATTCTAAATGCTTGTGAGAATTACTAAGTAAATTATGTCAACTTCTTTTGAAGTACACAAGTGAAAAGAAAAACATTAAGAGTACCAAAAAGAAAAGTAAGAGTTTGGTAAGAGTAATTTCCCTAAAAATGGCACCATGAGCTATGAAGAAAATTCACTCTCCTTAGCCATACAAGGTGATACACAGAGAGAGGCCCATTCAGCTTAGGGTTTGGCCTCTATCAATAACATAAGCAGACATTTTGTGGGAACGTGAAGTAGCTGTTCTTCAATGATATCAATCTCATAAGAACAGAAATGTAATTTAAATCCCTCTAATTTCCTTGTTATGAATCTACAAATCAGGAAATTTTTTGTCACTCTACTCTCTAGTACACACAGGTCCAACTGGTTATCCTTAGTTAATCGTAGAACATCTACAGAAGTGCTATTTTAATAATATAATTTTGGATTTAAAAGGACCCTTAGAAACCAAGTAGTTCAATTTGTTTATTTAACTGAGGGGGGATAAAGCATTTCTAAGAAAGTTACTTCATTTAGCTAGTTTATGATAAGTACAAACCTGGAACTAGATGTGCTCAAATATCTTAAACTTGGTTTTCATATTTCTCCCTTACCATTAAATTTCTGTATTATGTTATGTCAATGGGAGAGTATACATATGTCTTTTCAATGTATTCCGATAATATACTTCCCTGGACATAGTTAGTTACAGTGCTTGTCCTTTATTTACTTCATAAAGAGCTCCAAAATGGAGGAAAATATTAAAAAAAAAAAAGATTATTAAAAACAATGTAGAGGGGCACCTGGGTGGCTCAGTGCCACTGAGTGCCTCAGTGCCACTCAGTGGCTCTGCCTTCGGCTCAGGTCATGGTCTCGGGGTCCTGGGGTGGAACCCCGCCATACCATCCCATCCCATGGGCTCTCTGCTCAGCAGGGAGCCTGCTTCCTGTCCCCCCACCCCCGCCTGCCTCTCTGCCTACTTGTGATCTCTGTCAAATAAAAAATTAAAATCTTAAAAAAAAAAAAACCCACAATGTAGAGAAACTAGTGATGGTGGGGGCAGAGGCAGAGATCATCCTTTAACAGTTCGGCTTTCCACAGTATATTTGTTTCAAGATTTTTAGCATTCTAACTGATATTCTACTGCAATAAGTGCCTTAGGCCAAATAAGAGGTTCTGAAGTCATCATGAGTGGGTACCACATAGTCATCACCATTGATATGTAGTTCAGTCTTATACTCCATTCCTTTCATTCCTTTATTTTCATAATTTAATTCCATTTAAATAGAAGATGTATGGAAGTATATACAAGAATTGCCTCTGGGAAGGAGGGCATTGGGGCTATGGAGTGGGAAAGGGAAAACTTACTTTACACTGTGAAACTCTTAACCCTATGCACATTACTTTTCAATATTAATTTAAAATGTCCTTTAGGGCACCTGGGTGGCTCAGTTGGTTAAATGGTTAAACGTCTACCTTCACCTCAGGTCACGATCCCAGGGTCCTGGGATAGAGTCCCATATTGGGCTCCCTGCTCCTCAGGCAGCCTGATTTTCCCTCTGCCTCTCTCTCTTTCTTTCTGTCTGTCATAAATAAATACATACATACATACATACTTATTTCTTAAAAAAAATTAAATGTCCCTTTAAACACATGCCTATATTCATATAATTCTATCATAAACATTTTCAATGAAACAACTATTTCAACGTTTTTTCTCTTTTAAAAACTTTCCAGTATTACAACTTGTAAAATCACGTAGAAATTTTCAGAAAGAAAAAAGAACACAGTCACAAAACTCAAAGCAGAATCCCAGGATCTAAAGTATAAGAAAATGTTCGGAGGGATGAGAGTTCTTTAAGGGGTCATTTAATTTAAAAATTTTTTTGCAGAAAACCTCTTCCCCATATTCAAATAGCTAGGTTTTAATATGAGATTTAAGTGGGATTTCGTGGGGGGGAGCTCTAAAGTTGTGAAAAATAGAAATGAAATTTTGGTTTCTGTCTTTTGAACTGGAGACTGAGGACTTAGGGTAGGGTGGATAAGGACCTTGTGACAGTCACGTTCATACAGGAAAGGAGTATGACTGAATGAGTTTCTCCAGGATCCGTCCATCTCAGTTGGAGGCAGCAGCTGTTCTCGTGCAGATGAATCGTTCTGGACCTTACTTGGGCTCGATTTAACGGAGAAGCCCCATGATCTGAATCTATACAGATAATTTATTTTAATGGAGAGCTCGGAAGAGGGACTAAGGGAATTGATTTACTTTAACAAACTGCCTCATCATCACCCTTGCCAGGCCAGAGCACACACCTCACCTCGCTGTCTACTTGTGTCAGGGTCAGCTGTCAACACAACCCTTTGTGTCTCATTCAGATTAAGAGTGGTCCTCCACCACTCACAGAAAAATGGAAATGATGGCTGGAGACGCGCGCGCGCTGGTGACGAAGTGACATTGGATGTGGAGAAAAGAAACCCATGGACACTGAGCGACCGCCCAGCCACCGCTGGACGCTCTCAACTTTCCCAAGCTGAGCTCTCTCCATCCTTCCCCCCACCCCCGTCACCTCAGCGCCTCCCTGCCTGCCCTCCACCCGCCGGGCGACCCCCTCACAAGCCCCTTAGGCTTGGGGACACTGGTCCTCGGCGCGCCCCCCGCCGCCTCCGCCTCGGCGCTCCTCGCCGCGCGGGAGCCTCTCCCATCCCACGCTCCGGCTTCCTCGCTCCCGCCACAAAGGCAGAGAGAAGAGCCCGCGGTGACAGGCCTCTGGCCTCCGGGCGCGGACCGCACGGGCTCGGTCCCCTCAGAGGGCTGACGCAAGGCAGCGGGGAGAAGGGGTTCAGATCCGAGGCTGCCACTGGCGCCTGCCCTCGCCACGCAAACACAGGGGCGCTCACACACCCGCTCCGCCTTCCCAGTCCTCCAGAAAGTCAGCCGCAGCGCTTCCCCGCGCAGGCAGGGTGTCCACAGCCCGCCAAAGGGCAGCTTCTGCCCGGCAGAGTCGTGCGCTCGCGTCCGGCTCGCCACCTCTCATCTCCCCGCCTCCCCGCGCCCCGGAGTCCCCGCAGCCGCTCACCTGGCCCTGGCGGGGCGCTAGGGCAGAGGACCAGGGGGTGGCCCTCGCCTCGGCCGGGGCTCGTCTCCCCACCCCCAGTCCGGGTCCCAGCGCTGCGCTGCGCTCGCTCCGGCCGCCCTCTTCGAGGTGCTAGCGCCGCCGGTGGCTGGCGTCTCTCTGGCAGGCGCGCTCGCCGCGCGCTCAGTTCCCCGGGGCGGAGCGAGGCGGCGGCGGCCGCGGCCGGAGGCGGATTCCTCAGGTGCTGCCCCTCCCGCTTCCCCAGATCTCCGCCGCGGAGACCCCCGCGCCCCCTCCCCCGCCCCGCCTCTCGGCCTCCCGCAGCCCTAGCGCCCGCGAGTGGCCTTTAGGGCTCCTTTGCCCTCCTTGAGGACAGTGGGCGCGATGGGGGACCTCCTTGAGGACATTCCCCCCCCACCCTCTCCAACGACTCTCCCTCCGCCCCTCAGTCCCCTGTGCTCACGCCTCCATTTCCAAACTCTACGACCCAAATGATGTGTGTGGCCACTGTGGGGTGTGGAGGGTGGTGGTGTGGAGGGGGTGTTCTGGGAAAGAGGATTGCCCCCCAGAGTGCGGCTGACGCGCTCAGCCAGGAAGAAAAATTATTTTCTCGCGGATTCCGCGTTCATTCACAGAGTGCTCTCGCTTCATTGCGCGATTGCTTTCTCTGTCCGCAGGACGGCGGCTAAAGGGCCTTAAGTGTGAACTCGGCCTGGGCAATGGTGGGTCAAAAACCCTTGGCCTTTTGCACGAAGGGGGGTAGGGCGGGGGCAGGACGCGGACAAAACTAAACAAACCCGGGAGCTCCGGGCCAGAGCCAAATTTTGCACCTCCTGGATGAGCACGAACTCCCCCCCCCCCCGGCCCCCCCGCCAGCGGACCCCGGCCGGGCGCTGGGGGAGGCTGCCTGCTCGCGGTGGCTTGTCCCGAGCCTCCGGGATCAGGAGGGATCATCCGCCCCACCCGCAGCCACTTCCAGCAGGCCCTGGACCATGACGGGTGCGCCGGGAACAAAAGTTCTCAAGAGATGCTCGGCCGGCCTATAGTGACAGACTGAGCTCCACTTTTCACAGCTGGTGGTATCTGTTAGTAGAGATGTAGTTCCATTTTAAAAACTGTCATTGTTGCCAGGGATAGGCTGCTAGACTCCTTTACTGAACTGCCCACCCTCTGGAAGAAACAGCTCCATGCTGGATGTGGTAGAAGAGTCTAGGTAAAGAGAAGTTGATCTACTTTTAGTGTCTTGGGGGCAAGTATAGCCCCGGGTAGGTCAGCACGTTGGTGGAAATAAGGAAGCTACAGCGGCACCCACTTGGGCGGGTTGCTTATCAGTCTATTGTTACGGTATCATTGTCAATTATAGTTTAAAGACAACTTCAATTAAAGTAGATCTCATATGATCTCTATGATCTCTAAGTCAGTACCATTCGTTTGCTTGTCTTGTATTTTTTTTTTAAAGAACCGAAATGTAATACCCCCCCCCCCCCACGCCCTTCTCTTTTGGTCGATCCAAAGGGAATTGACCAGAAGTGTGGAATCATCACAAAATAACTTAAGGCATAGTTCAATTATGACTAGCAAAAGCAAGCAATTTGTTGGTGGTTTCATTTGTGTTCTCTCCCTCCTCCACTGGGAAGAGACGCTCAACTGCCATTTTCTGTAAAATCATTTTGTTCCTTGTGGTGATAAGAAGCAGAAATTGTTTTTTGGTTTGTTTTACAATCGAATCCCTATTGTCAGGTCTTTAAAATCACATAGAAACATTTTTAATGTGCCACAGGGACAGGAAACACGGCTTTCAATCACTGCTGTATTCTCACAGTTCTGGATCTAGCACACAATACAGGCTTAGTAAATGAAATCAATACGGTTTTTAAACACCTACAGCATAGAGAGATGCCGATGATTAACAATATAGCTCAACATCTCAAAAAGGAATCCACACTCACCATGAGAACTAGACATACATGTGGGAATGAGTTAGTAGAAACCTGAGATTTCAAGTTAACCTTGCGAATACAAACTAAGCTCACAAGAGGTTAAAGCAGGTAAGAGAAACTTTTGAAAAACTCAATCCCTCACAAACTCTGTAGAGCTGGGGAGAGGGACACCATCCACTTTAAAGATAAGGAAACTCACAACAATGAGCAGCCTTAAAGCAAAACCACAGTGCAATTTTCTTTCAGTTTAGTTGAAGGACCATTGTGGAGTGCCGAGCACGCTAGGCTCTGGAGATGTAAAAGCAAATTTGGCAGAATTATTCAAGGACCTTATATTAACATTATAGAGCTCTGGTATTCATTCTTCATTCATTCGATACTTATTTATTGAAGCCGTATTGTGAGCTAGATGGTATAGTGGGAACTAAGATTCATCAAAAAACAAAACAAGTCTCTAACAAGGTTAAAAGTTAGTGATACTAATCTATTTCTGGATTGAAAACATTTTAATGTCTCCTTTATTAGATAATACATTCCCTTTCCCTGAATTTATTTGTTTGTATATAAATCTCTCCTGGGTTTATATATCCCCCACCATGCCCAATAGATTTCTGTGATTATAAAATATGATAGGGCTGAGTGAGCACTCTGGATCCTGGACCTACCTATTATGTAAACTTGACCAAGTTACTTGACTCCAGCTTAGTGTCCCCGTCTGTAGAATAACATCACAATAGTACATACCTCAGAGAGGAGCTATGTGGATTTTGACAATGCACAGTACCTGGCAAACTATAAAATGTTAACTGCTGCAAATCCCTCCACTGTTCTCTGTGACAATGATTCCCAAATGCTTCTCCATAGATATTCTGCATCAGAATTCAAATTCAGTGAAAAATATGAGATTCACAACAGTTAGGGTCCTTATAAATAATAGAATCCTTCCAAGTTGTTATTGTGATGATCCTCTGTCTCGGCAATGGGAGAAGTTCTATGATTATGTCCTGGTTCTGCTTTCAAGGATGTACACCCTTCTGCATTAATTTCTGTAGCCCTTGTTCCACACTCTGGAAGACTCTTTCTTGTTCAATATCCTTCATGGCCACATCTGAAGTGGGCATGGGGATGTACTCCCTCCTTGGAGACTTCACAGTTTTCCTAGCTCATTTCCTGGCAGTACAAGTTTGAGGTCCTGAGAGTTCTTTTACAGTTAAAGGTTTTTAAGGCCAAGCTTGTGGCTTATCTGCCAATGCAGTTCCCTCAGACACATAGTAGACTTCATATTTATTTGCTTCTATCGAGTTCCATGTGCCAACAGTCACACCCAAAGTTCTTTCCTGGACGTAGTTTCCAATGCTTTATTCCCTTACTTCCTCTCTCTGTACCTTTTTCTCTCAACTTAAGGTTTGAAGCTTGGTGACTCAGCATCCTGTGTACCATCAACCATTATCTCTGAGGAGGAAGATGGGCACTACTTTCCTACTGGGGACCAGTTCATTGAGGGAAACCAAATTCCAACCTAGTACCACCATCCTCAGAGAATAAGACTCATTGTGGGGGTGCGCCTGGGTAGCTCAGTGGGTTAAGCCTCTGCCTTTGGCTCAGGTCATGATACCAGGGTCCTGAGATTGAGTCCCACATTGGACTCTTTGCTCAGCGGGGAGCCTGCCTCCCCCTCTCTCTCTGCCTGCCTCTCTGCTTACTTGTGATCTCTGTCAAATAAATAAATAAAATCTTAAGAAAAAAAAAAGACTCATTGTGGGGAATTGAAAGGTGGTCTCTCTAATTTCAGATGGGATGCCAGTTACCAGCCATGAGTGATCTAGATCTTCCTTTATAAATATGAGCAGATAAAAAATATCACTAATCATTAAGAGGAAATCTATTACTTGAAACAAGAGGCCAAATTAAAGCAGATATCACTCACTAAAATGGAGTTCATGTAGGAAATAAGAGAAAACATTTTTAAAGAACCTGTTCATGTTCTTAGTGAAATTTAAAGAGTGATAAAGACAGGTTGAAAATAGAGCAATCTGAGAACCAGAATATCCTCAGAAATTAAAAAGTACATGAATATTTTAAGTTGAAAAGACTACAGAAGCAGTTAATAGAAGAAAAGATCACGCTGAAAACTGAATTAATTATAAGACCTTCTCAAAGAGTCCTTCCAATATGCAGAACAAAACAACAAAAAAAAATAGAAAATATGGAAGAAAAGATAAATATTTTTAAAAGATCCAAGAGATCCAAATTCATATGTTGGAAGTTTTAGAAGCAAGATGGAATAGATGATATGGGGCACCTGAGGGGCTCAGTTCGTTAAGCATCTGACTCTTGATTTCAGCTCAGGTCATGATCTTGGCATCCTGAGATCCAGTCCTGTCTTGAACTCCACACTCAGCAAGGAGTCTGCTTGAAAATTCTCTCTCTCCCTCTCCTCTGCCCCTCCCCCTTCTCTCTCTCTCACTCAAATAAATAAATCTTTTTTTAAAAAGATGGAATAAATGTTATATATTAATATAATTATGATATACAATATCTATTTTGTAGTATACAACAAAACATCCTTAAAAGAAACTAAAGACCTAAATAAATGGAAACATATCATGTGTTGTTGGAGTTAATATTCTTAAGGTATCTATAAACTCCAAGCTGATCTAGATTCAACACAAGCTCTATCAAAATTCCAGCTGGTTTTGTTTTGTCTTGTTTTATTTTTGCAGAAAATGACAGGCTGACCCTACAATTTGTAGTGAAATTTAAGAGACTCAGAATTGTCAAAACAATTTTTTTTTAATTAAGAAGGTCAGGGGCACCTGGGTGGCTCAGTCAGTTAAGCATCTGCCATCGGCTCAGGTCATGATCCCAGGGTCCTGGGATGGAGTCCCACGTGGTGCTCCCTGCTCAGCAGGGAGTCTGCTTCTTCCTCTGCCTCTCCCCGATGCTCATGTGCACACTCTCTCCCTCAAATAAATAAAGTCTTTGAAAAAATAAAATAAAAAAATAAAAATTAAGAAGGTCAGAAGAATGAACTTCCCAACTTTAAACCTCATTACAAAGTTACAATAAGACAGAGTGGAACTGGGACACCTGGATGGCTCAGTCGGTTGAGCATCTGCCTTCGGCTCAGGTCATGATCCCAGTATCCTGGAATCGAGTCCCGCATCAGGCTCCTTGCTCCACGGGGAGCCTGCTTCTCCCTCTGCCTCTGC